GAAAGAGCCCAGAACAAAAGCCCTGCACCCCATGGAGCACGTTCAAGAGCAAATGTAAAAATGAGGGGAGGTTCTGTAGCTAGTCTAGATCCACCAGTTTTGCACAGTTGCAGATTGCATTGCAGAGTTGTTTCATTTATACGTTATGCTTGTCTATATATTGAAAATCGTGTTATATTAAACATTAATTGATTTTTTTAAAATATAAATAAATGGAGTAAGGAAGGTCCTTTATTCCAGAAAGGGCTGTGAAAGGCTGGAGAAGGAGAGATGCTGTTTTCTTTCTGACATTCTAGCAGAATTTTCTGGCTGTGGTGATGCTAAAACAAGCGGAGAAATGGTGGAGACTGCTGCCCTGAGCGAATACCACGTAATCCCAGTGGCAGCAGAACGTACCCTCCGCTTGAAGGCTTGACTCTGTTCTCTGGTGTGACTTCAGAGCTGTGCTCCGCTTACGGGCACCCTCTGTAGACACCTTTAACTTAAAAAGGAGAAAGTGGTAGTGACTGGACATCCACATGACTGCCTGGGGGAAACTTTGGAAGCATCGTTGTTGTTTTTTAAAGTTTAAAAAAAAAGTTCTATTATGGCAAAGAACAACGGTGTTAATGACAAATGTCCATTGAGATCTCTTTAGAAGTGAGTGTGTTCTGGTAACTAAGTTGGCTTTATGTGAAGTGAGAGATACACTGAAGCCTTGATCAAGGAAAAAAAAAGAAAACAGAGCTCTTAAAAGATGGGCAAAGATCATCAGTGACTGGAAAGAGATACTGTTAAATTCCCAGAATCTTTTAGCCAAAGATCAGGTTTCAATTTTAAGTATGAAATAAAAGCATGCAGTAAATCTCACCTTATTATAAGCAAACACGGTAAGGCAAGCCTCCAGCTACCTTGGGGGTCAAGCAGCACAAACTGTAACAGAACTTCCAGCTTAATTTCTTGGAGGTATTGCAATTTCTGTGAAGAATAATGCACAATCTGTAAAAATGCGATTACCTGAGCAACTCCACTAACAGATGTTTATATGCAACCACTGATATTTAAATCTTAATAATGAAGAAATTGTACATTTTATGTGCTGTTTCATCCAAGAATTGCCGCTGAGCCATCCATCGCCGCTCCTTCCGCTCTTTAGGCATGTTAAATTGTTTGGTGATGAGGTGAGGTAATTGCCCCCAAGTTTAAGGATATCAGAAAACTGGTTACATGGCAGCCAGTTTCTGTGTAACTTTGATTTCTTTAGAGAATCACCAGGAGGAAAGACTAGGTGGTAAAGTGATTGCCTGACACTTCCTCAGCTACTAGTGAAATTAACTTTCTTCTGTTATCATTAGCAGAATAATTTATTAGGACATACATCTGGCCTGTGGGGCTTGGTTGCTTGGTCAAGCTTTAAACCAGGGCTTTCTCTCATCAAGATGAGATTCGGTGTCTTGATTGAAGTCCAGAAGAGAGTACAAGAGGAGGAGGATGTTCTATCGCTTAGTTCTTATTAAAAACATTTGTCTACTTTCTAAGGAAAGCTTTTCCCAGTGAAGAGGGATGTCTTTATTAATAAAATAAATCATGGCAGACAGCCAATCAAAGGCAGGTTCAGTGTGTGGATGGGGAGCTTTGTGCATGCGTGTGTGTATGGGTTTAGTACTTAATGTGCATAAAATAGAGAAAATTACTTCAGGGGAGGAAAGGAAAGATGTGGAGCATTCCTGTACTAATTCATAGAAGCCAGGGAGGGGAGTCATGGGAACTGAGGGCTTCCCTGCACCCCAGTGAGTCCCAGAGTGTTCAGTGTCTCACCATGAGAATTAAGGTGCTGCAGACTACCCCGCTGTGCATACCATGTGTGCGGTGGTCCGTCTCCTCAGCTTCACCAGGCTAGCAGGAGTAGTAGCATGTATGACAGCGATGGTTCTTTTCATAGTTTCGTAAGTGTTTTCGTTTGGAAATACTCGCTGACTGGGGTTGGGTTTTCTGAGCACGGACTGTCCTCAACAGCAATGTTTTGGGTAACGTTTGAGCAAAACAAAACTGTGTTTTCTAATAAAACAAGGAAGAGAATTGATTTCCCCATTACTTGTGTAAAGCAGCTTTAAAAGGCCAAGTAGAGGGTTTCTGCAGAAAAACTTCCGTGTTACGCTGTACTAACAGGGAATTATATGTATCTTTGTAATTAGAGTGGGTGGTGTGTGTGCAAGGGACAGGGAGAAGTCCCTCTACAAGAACTTTCTTTGGCGTTTCTTGATTGCTGCTTGTGTAATCGGGCAGGACTGGCCATCCAGTAACGCGGGTGTTGGCTGAGTTTCTACAGAGTGCTCCTTTCCTAGAACCGCTGTTCCTGCAGCAACAAGGAACAAACAGCCCTGGCTGGTGGCTGCTGTCTTTTGGGAACTTCAGCCTCACGAGAAAGGCAAAGAGCAAAGTCTACCGAGTACTGATGGAAAAAGATGACATTGATGTTTAATTCCGATACTTCATTTGGAGATGCAGCCTACCATCATAAGCAGGGAAAGACAAGACAACTATTCCTGTAATGAATAAACATAAAGTGGCTGTGAGTGCATCTTAGTCATATTTAATTTATGAATTTAGTTTTGCTTCATAGACCTTGCTCTGAGAATGCTTTCACTGGAAAGATTGAGTGTAAATCACTGGCTCAGCTTCAAGCCATCATAGCGAATTTGATTTATTGATTATCTAATCAAATAAATGGAGAAAGAAAATACCGCATTGTGAATTCTCAATGTGCCAGGAAATACAGATACCTGCCCTAGCTCTGATCTCTACAAAAGTCTTTCCTCCTCCTGAAACTCTTGTGGCAAAAGGCTGTTCTGCTAACCACAGGCGGCCTTGGACTGAGAGGCACAGGAAAACCTTGTTGCCAGCTGTCAGGAAGCCCTGAGTCAAGGAGAGCGGGAGCCAGCATCTGTTATTTCCAGGACTGGCAGAACACGCAGGCAGGAGCTGGTAAGGATCCTGGAAGGTGAGAATTACATAAGAAATCCTTCCTGATAAATCCCTGCCTTAACTTCAGCACTGTGTCTTGGCCGATGTTCAAAGTCCTGGTAGAGAAGTGAGCCTTCCGTGCAATTGCTGCAGTAACGTTAACCAGGGAAAAACTGTATTTACTACTGGAGCCGTCTGCTGAATCTTCCCTGCTCCCCTCGAAGCACTGACTTCCATGTCGAGAGGGAGAGACAAAGTGTTAAAGAAGAAAAACTTTGTTGGCTTTCAAATGACACTGCTTGGTGGGAGGTTTCAGAATCATAATTGGTTTCTGTCTGAGTAGAAGCTCAGAGATGTTAGGCATCGGTGGCATGTCGTGATCCTCATCATGTGGCACTGTTTGACTCCCACCGTACCTTTGGGAGCTCTTCTTGGAGGAGAGCTGAGCAACAGCCAAAACCGGGCTCTTGTTTACTAAAGTGACTTTCTGATGCTTAAATGGGAGCTGGCTGGGAGGGAGACAAAGACATGAATGATGAGCCTAAATAGTTAGTTCTTTTGAATAATAATTTCTGTTTTTCCAGCCAGCAGCAGCTGGGTTAGAGGTCACAGCTTTCTGCTACACACACATCCTGACGTCCTCCCGTGCTTGTTTGTCACCAGAAGTTCCCTCGTGACATGTTCTGTGGGGTTCATATTTTCATAGATCATTGCTCCCTCCTGACAAGATCATCCATACAGTTCTGTTCCGCAGGCAGATGGGCATGGGAGGACAGGACTGCATTTTTCCTGCACGCTCTGACTCTTTCTGCTCAGTCGGTCAAAACCTTGCCTGTTTAGCCGAAGTTCACTAATTGCCTGTGTCATACTTAACTGAACTAGTATAGAGCGTCTCTGCTAGGTTACAGTTATTTGCAACACTTTTTAAGGACGAGTTGAGTTCAACAGAGTTTATTTCATTAAGGGTATTGTACGTTTACTCTCTGATAACACTTTGGAAGGACCCTCAGGGATTTTTCTGCTTTATTCTTGCCAGTTTTCTTCTCTCAAAGCTCCGTGACCCTCCTACAGTATCACAGAATCGTGCCAGGTTTCTTTCTATGCAGGCTCAGGCCCCGTTACTTTCTCTTTTTAATTTGCCTGTTCACCAAATTCCAACCAGCATCAATCAGCTTAATGGTAACTGGTGAGACCCACAGTCTGGATCAGAAGTGGAGCCACCTACAGTAAGTATCTAGTGCTCAGCAAGTATATTTTGGGCATTTTCAGCTGTGATCCCAGCTGGACCTGGGGGAAGCTCTTGGACACACACAGATCCTGGTGGAAGCATCTTTGCAGGAACCTCCCTTACCAATTCCAAGGTGATGACATCCCCCGTCTGCAGAGCCTTTGGCACAGAGAATATGGTTGTTTGAGTCAACTGCACCAAAGCCAAGCCTTTAACATATGCCCTTAGTTTTCTCCTACTGCAAGGAGCTGGACTGCATCGTAAAGTGACACATGGATATAACCCCTTCACAACACAGCGATCCTCTGGGCGAGCATCTGGGAGTCCCCTTTGCTCACACCTTCAGAGGAGGAAGAGGAAGACAAAGATGGCAAACTTTGTGGAAGCAGAGGCTGCCCTAGAGCATACGTGAATTGCAGGTGCTGCAGGAAGATGCCCGGGCACCCAAAGTGGAACAGGCCAGGTAGAGACATCATCTGTTCTTTGCTGTTCTGGGGGAGGAAAGGCTTTTGCTGGGGGTGGTGTCCAGCTTTCAGGTTTGTCGCATTCAAGCAGTACACTGGCAGTGCAGATGCAAACAGGGGAACTGAAACAAAAAGCGACTGATTAGACAGGATTCCATGCAGGAAAATCTAGGCAGGGCCCTTCTCTCCCCTCATCAGTTGATGCCTTACTCGTGCATGGGATCTCAGTAACGTGCTGGGTATCGGAGGCAGTGAAATAATCTCTCCCTAATGTTTTCCTGGTATGTCTACAGCGTCAGCTTTGACTGCTGCCCTCCCCCGGCACTCCGGGTGTCTGCAGGAGGGAGCTGGGTGCGGTGGCGGAGACAGGGTATGTTTGGTTTCTGTGAAGAAACACTTTTGCTGACCTGGCACAGCACAGATCGCTGTTACCTCACCCAGCACAAGTGGTGTCTCCAGAACGGTCAAAGCAATCAGAGGTCACGTCTAACAAGATATAGAAGGATTTTGTCACTGTCAGTTCTGTCCAGACAGCGGAGAGGAAAGCCTTAAGTAGCGGGCAGTAAAGATGCCTTTATTCTCTACCTAAGGAAATGATAATAACTATTTTAATTCCTTTTTTAAGGACCTGCGGGTGAATGCAGGGCTCAAGGATGCAGCAGAATGCTACAGTTGAAAGGACAGTAAATGTGCTCCAGAGACTGTGCAAAAAGAAGATGAAGTTTCGATGAGGAGAAGGGGCGTGCAGAGTGTGTGAATACTCACGGGATGGAGCCGGGCCCTGCCTGCAGGCAGCCTGGAAAGGAGGAGCTGCAGGAACCAGCACAGGTGGATCGGGACAAGCACCTGCATCCCTCTGCACCTCGGGAAAGCGCACTCAGCAGCCCGCTCTCCGTGAACACACATTCCCATCAGAGAGCTTGGCCTGCACGCTGCAGTGGGTCAGTGGTACCACGCAAGAAGCGCATAGTTGCACGCAGTTTTAAAAGGATCTGTATGTGCGTTTTCAAAAATAAATGCTTTGGCGTTGTTGGGAAGGAGGAGTTGTACTCTTTGCAATAAAATCTTGCGCTCTTGCTGCGTTCATCGTGCAGGTCTTCACTTGTGTTTCTGAAAGGATCTCAGCTGTGTGGGGGCTTTGGGTTGTTAGTGGTAGGACCTTTGATGGTTGGACATTTGGCAGTTTATTGTCCCCAAAGCAATCAATATACACAGTTTCAACGTAACAAGCAGTATTGGAGATTTCTCACAAGCCAGCCTGCCAGAACTTCCCCAGAGATTTGTCATCCCATCGGTGACAAGCTGCAGGTGGTGCTGGCCATGCTTCTGTCTTGGTTTCTTGCTCAGTCCCTTTTGCCGTCTGCTCCTCTGCTTGCAGGTGGTGTGCAGGACACACCAGGCAAGTGGGTTTATGAATGGAAAGACCACTTCTGCCACCAAAACCCATTCACTGCTCTTCAGCAGTGGCGAGGGCAGAAGCTGTCCTAGCGAGCTGGGGAGGACGGGCAGGCACCGAGTAGCGTGGATGGAGGGGTGTTTGCTGGTCTCAATGAGCTTGGTGTGACTGTCCTGGCCTGCGTATGTGCCTTTTTGCATCGCTGTTCCTCTTGACGGGGAGCTGGCACGCTGTCTCCCTCTCGTCAAAGTATTTCATCCTACAGTCGCTTGCACTGAGCGCACTTCCAGCCGTGTCTGAGGCTTGTCTTGCCGTGTGCGGTCTACTGATGCTATAGTGTCCAGGGACCGTACCCTGGGAGAGCTCATTATGGGAGGAATCTTTATTACTGATATCGGATGATAAAAACAACTGCCTGCTCAGCCTTCTTGGAAGAGTTAAGTTATTTTTCTTCAGACCTGAAAAGCCCAGCAACTCCTTTAATCTGATATTCTTTATCGCTGGAATGACGAGTGCTTTGCTCAACTGCATAACTGCGTATTTCTTAGTCCTGAACTGTGAAAGCCGCTGGGTGCCTCCAGGAGAATTTACCATTCTGCTTGTTCCCTTCTCTTCCCCTGGCCTTTTAGGTCTTACTTTAATTTATTCCCAGAGAAGCTGGATTTTCATTAAGGTGTAGGTGTAATCTCTCTGCTTTCAAATCTCCTTTGATATATTTTATCTTAGGTTTGTTTATTGCTTTACATTATTGCTCATTTGTCATTGCCTTTGTAATAGATGTTGTATTCTTGAAAAATTGAAATAGTGGTGGTTTGGTGTTTTGGGTTTTTTTTTTTCCCAGGAGGAAGGGTGGAGGGTGGGTTTCTTATTTTTTATTTATTTTGAAGAAGTAGAAATTTAGCTCAGTAATAGTTGTTTTCCAAAGCATAGTGCATTTTGAAGACAGTATATATAATAGTGACAGACGATTTAAGTACTTTCTTATTCAGGGAAAAAACTGTGTGTTTGTGGGGAACGGGGAAGGAGTGGAAGGACTTTGTCTCTTATGTCTCCCTTCTCCGAGAGTTATTGCTCTTGGAACAGCCATCATCAAAAGAAGCTAGATTAGAGTCCTGTAGCTCAGCTCCTTAATTGATGCAAGGATGTTTCTAGAGCAGTGGTGTTACTAGTCTTGGATAATTTTTTAAGCATTAAATAAAAGACACATCATATGTAACTTCTGCAGTGGTTTGGGGGGGGAGATCGTACGAGTTTATTCCCTTTAATCCTGTACTTTGAGTAAGGGTACGAGTACCCGTGATCTCTGCCAGTCGTTAGGAGCAGCACCTTGACTTACCCCGGCAGGAGCTGCTGGTCGTGCTGGTGCAGAATCCCGAACTGGCCCTCTGGCTCGAGGACAGATTTTGCAGCAAAGCCATGGTAGTATGGTGAAGCCTGGAGCTATGGGGTGTGAATAAATATAATAAAATAGATCCGAGTGGCTGTGTACTACTCTAGGGCCTCTCTCCAATTTCAGGGGGACACAGGGGCACCGTTTTCTTGCATCCAATTCTGGTATGGGAAACTGAAACAGTTGCCGTTACTAGTAAATGTGATGTTGGTAACCTGAGCGTCTCAGGGATTCGAAAATAAAGTAATGCCTTTTTTGGCCTGCAGTCATCTATTAGCAATGAAAGAGAGATTTCAATGTGTTCTGAGCTTTCCGCCTGTATCAAAGCTGTGTTCTGTCTTTAATCTCAGGATTGCTCTGTGATGCTTTTCAGATGAAAAGTGCTAAGCAGAGTAATCTGTGTTGCACTGAAATTGGGCTTGCGTTGTTTAGGGAGGAAGGGAATTACGGTGACTGGATGTACAGTGGAAAGAGGTTCTTACCAAGCCGTGTGGTTTGAATGTGCATGGCTCTTCAGAAACCCCATGTCATTCGCTTTGGAGAAATGCCTACGGCTTAAAGACAAAACAAAATATAGGACAGCAAAAGGAAAGGGGAAGACATTACAGATGATGGGCATGATCAGAAAGATGCTCAAGTATTTAATAACATCAGGTCCTATGAGCTCCTCTGTTTACTGCCTCTGAAGCTGGGGACCCTAAAGAATTTATGGCTTAGTATGACGTGCATGTGTGAGTGTGTGTTGCAGAGGTAATTCCTGGAGTTTTGATGGTTACTGTTGTTTTGTGTTGTGAATATGTTGATATACTGAAAGATCCCAGAAGAGCATGACTTGGAGAGCCAGATTCGCAAGGAGAGAGAGTGGCGGTTTCTGCGCAATGCTCGTGTCAGGAAGCAAGCCCAGAAGATCATCCAGAAGGGTGAGTGACTTCCCCCTTGCCCACGCTCTAGGCAGCTTCCTTGAGCTCCGAGCACTGTGCTTAGTCAGGACGCTGAACTGTAAAACCCCAATTAATAATGACCCCATGCTGACCCTCAAATTGGGAAGGTGCCTGTGCTCTTCCCGTGTGCAGGCGAGGCGATGCTGCTGTAGGGTGCTTCGCTAATAGTCACTCACCTTTTCCGTTCTCAGCTGCTGGTTTTGTTCGCCAGATCAGGGGAGTGACCGCTTTAAATGTCAAGTGTCTGCCTTCCCCTTTGAAAACTTAACCAGAAATGACATTGTTGGTGACAAGCGGAGCGCTCAGCCGGAGCGTAGCGCCGGGCTGGCTAACCTCTCGAGTCCAGCACGGGAGTGGAGGAGCCCAAGAGTAATGACTACTTTGAAGGAGGAGAGAGCTTGCCGTGAAGGCAGGCTTCCACACTTACAAGAATTGACAGAGCATCCGATTTTCAATGCAAGTACTGCTCCCGAGCCCTCTCGGCTGGGGGGGCGGCGCGCTGGGCTTCCAGCCGCCAAGCCGGCACCGCCGCGAGAGCCAGCGCAGCCGGCATGAAATCGATAATTCAGAGGCCCTTAACAGATGGCATTGATTTACCATTTGGGCTTTTCCTCCCTGTCCTGTAAAGTTTGGATGGATACTGTAGGTTATGTTTTTAAAGGGATAGAAGGCAGAATATTGTAGGATAAACTTCAGAGCTGCAGTCTGGCTCGGGCAGTGTTTGACGTGCGTCAGACACCGTTTGGACGGCCGGTCATGGCAAACCAGCTCTGCCGAGCTGCTGGATGTGTCCTCGGGATGCTCCAGAGACATCTCAGCGACGTCTTTCATGTTCTCTGCGCTGCTGAACTCTGTAAATGATTGCTTACTCCTTATATCCCATTATATTGTTAATACTTGTATGTATGGCTTTATGTGTGCTTACACATTTCTCTCTAACGTGCCTCAGGTTCACGTTTCATTGGCATGTACTCTCCAGAAAGCCGATAGCGCTTTTATTTGTGACTCTCTATGCCTCTACGAGGCAGCGTTTGGGCTAGAATTCGTATAGCGCAGGAAGTTATTCGAATACAGTGGAACCCAATGAAGGCCCTCAGGAATTTGCATGCTTAAATTATTCCTGCTTGCGTGCCTTGAACAGCAGAGACTGGAGAGTGGCATTTATGGGAGCTCTTCTCATGTCATCCTCCCGGCAGCGTTCCCGGGGGCAGAGCCGTACGGGTGGACGGTGTTCCTCTCCTGGGTTGCTCGCTGAGGCACCCAGAGTTGGAAATAACAATTTGGTGATTGAAGAACTGCCCGAGGCTCAGCCTCCTGCGTGTGCCTGGTTGTCTGGAGGTTTGCTGGGCTCAAGTCAGTACAATGAGTAGCTTAATGTTGTGAAACTGCAGAATATCATAAACCAGAGTAATACAGAAATGAAACTGGAGCCCAGGAGATGGCTTGGGAGATCTTTTTGAATACAAAGAAGGGGATTTTGCATGCTGCCCGAAGAAGTTAAATCTTTTTCTAAACAGTGTCCGTATTTGGTTGCTTGACCTGAGCGACTAAAATGCCAGTATTCATTAAAAAAAAAAGACTTGCAATAGACTTGCAATCTTTTAATGAAATTAAATGGATGCATTCAAAAACAAACTAGAACTGAGTAAATGTCTCCCTGGCTTATGGTTTTGTGTGATGAATTCCTACTGTGCCAAAAAATTGCAGTGTCAGGGGTACCAAAACTGTTTGTGAAGAGCAAACTGTTCTAAAGAAAAGATGGGAAAGGTCTTTAACCATCATTTTAATGTCCCCATGGAAAATATATTTTTCATTTGCAAATTAACCTAAAATTTAAAAGAACTGAAGTGGAAGGTTAAATAAATAATCCACAAGCTAAAATGAAATACTCTAAGTTGAAAAAAAAGCGTTTTCATTTTTTTAATTTTGAAAAAATAACGTTGATTTTTCTGTCAACACAAACGGGTATTTCTCTGGTCTTGGTTGTGCTTGCTTGCTGTGTTCTCTTCAGTTACCAAAGTAAAGGACCCCCTGATTTGTCACCACAACGTTTAGTTTGTACCTTAAGACGTGAGACAATCAGCAGGGAGGAGTCGGGGCTGTCAGATTGCTGGGGTCTGAGAAGGTTCTTGAAGGAGGAAAGTGTTGGGGGTCTGTGGGTGAGAACTGGGGGGAGGAGGAGGGGAGCAGTGACACGTGGCACTGGGAAGCTGGGGGGGTCCGAGCCCCGTCCCCCGGCGGGGTGTTCCCAGGCACTGAGCCGTGGCTGCCGCTGTCCCCCCGCAGGTATTTCCCGGCTGGATGATCAGATCTTCCTCAACAGGAACCCGGGCGTCCCCTCCGTGGTGAAGTTCCACCCCTTCACGCCCTGCATCGCCGTGGCCGACAAAGACAGCATCTGGTAAGAGCTTCCCCGGGTCTCCAAAGCGCTCGCTGCCCTGCCGCCGTGGAGCGCGCGCGGAGGGGTGCAGAGCAGCGCGTCGGAGAGTGCGTATGGGCTATGGCGGGGTAGCGCTGCCGTGCGGTGCTCCTTTTCTTCCCCCCCGCTCCCCTCCGTGGCCATCCTTCCCTCTCTCAGGGCAGGGGGACGGAGCAGAGTCCTCCCGGAGTTCCGTGCCGTAGTCGTAAGCGTTGCACCGAGCCCTTTTCTACGGGAGGTGCTGGGTTAGAGGGCTGCAAGTGAACCCTGACAGATTTCTAATAGTTACTTACAATTGGGCGTTTATCCTATTTCTTTCACAGAAAGTTGACATATGTTATTAATAAAATGATGCTGAATACCAAAGGAGAAAAACAAATTGAATTGGTATCCAACATATATAATTTTTAGTTTTGCTGTAATGAGTAGATCTCTTTACAGTTTGCACAGAGAACCAAGAACTGACCTGATATTTTTTCCTCCCCAAGTTTTTGGGACTGGGAGAAAGGGGAAAAGCTGGACTATTTCCACAACGGGAACCCTCGATACACCAGGATCACAGCAATGGAGTACCTGAATGGACAGGACTGCTCCTTGCTGCTGACTGCCACAGGTAAATAACGTATTTTCCCATGTATAAGGGCAAGACTGGGGGGCCTTTACAGAATTCAGGTCCATGTGAGCTGGACCTCTGGCTCTGGACTTCTGGCTCTCCCCTCTCTGAATTTGGCCCAGGCTGACCCTTCCCCTCCCTGTGGCCTGCCTGCCTAGTCTCAGCTGAGGAGGCATTTCCAGGATCAAACCTGAAAGTTGTTTCTGGCAGTACTGGAATCTCTTAACTGTTTAAGTAGGTGCTGCAAAGGTTTTCAGATGACTAACAAATGGAACACTTGCTAAAACCATTTCCAGTCGCAGCTTTATTTGTTACATCATTCTGAGTCTTTACCTGTCATTGCAAGTTCATGGTAACCTCCTCCTATACAATACCTCGGGCAACGTGATTTTAGTTGGTTAAAAGCTGCTGTCCAGAGCTGAAAAGGAAATCATGCTGCAACCAACGTGTAAGAAATCAAACTCTCTTACTTGTGCTGTTTTAGGTCTAGAGTAGGTAGGGCTCATTTTAATCACTAAACTTCTCAAATAGTTCTGAGTTTCTCTCTAGTCCGTATATCTCGCCCAGGGGAAGTGGTTCTCTAGAATGCCCTGTTGCATCACGTAAGGTAGCATGAAGAGCTCTTTCCCATTCATTGGTCTGTAAAGCTGTGAGTAAGATCTGCTTCTCTCCCAAGGAACCATTCTAAACCTGTCAGTCTAAGTGTTTTCAATAGCTTTTCAAACTTCATGCTGAAATGTACAGGTTGGGTATAATTAAGAGAGGTGGAAGAGGAGCTGAGAGGGCCTTTAGGACATTTTCCTTTCAATTTATTGATTCTTAGCACAAAAGTTTCACAGATGGGGAACAAATTGAAAAAATACACGATGTTCTTGAAAGATTTGCTGCTGATGGGCTGGGCTTTGATTCAGCTTCTTCTGAGGGGTTGTATTTTGTATTTAGTAGGGTACTTTTGTGGCTCTCAGCACCAATAGCAAGGAGGACAGAGACGAATCCTAGAGAAAATGAATGGGTCAAAGAAATGGAGCGATATCTAATGTCAGGTGTTATTTGAGGGAAGGAGAAAAGCTCTTCCAGAACAGTTCCCAGTAGAACAATGCTTTAGGTTTCATGGATGTAAGATTAGAGAGGAAAAACAACTCTAATAAAAAGGATTAAGTTAAAGTGACACACTCGAGTTTTGGAGTTTGTATGCCTACAGTTCCGCTTCTCTTCTTCCTTTGTTGTGCACAAGTAATTAGGAGAGTTGTATCAGCAGTGATGTTGCATTGTGTTCTCTTTTTCTGTGCTCCCCAAGATGATGGTGCCATCAGAGTGTGGAAGAACTTTGCAGACCTGGAAAAGAACCCAGAGATGGTAACTGCCTGGCAGGGGCTGTCAGACATGCTGCCAACCACACGAGGTGGGTTCCCACTAAGTTTTCTTGGGGGATGTAAAAATCATTTGTGATGGTAGGGTTTTTTCTAGGGATGGGGAGAATAAAATGGGTTTCTCAACTTCAGCCATCGGTAACATCCTTGTTCAACAGTTTCTGCCTTCTGGAATGGCCTTTTGCTAGGCCTTGGTGAGGAATTATTTTTCCAGTTGTCCCAAAACAAACCAACCAAACCGAAAGCCCAACACAGCAACCTCACGCACACACTGAAGAACAACAGGAGCAGCCTCTTGCTGGGGAGCAAGGGTACAAAGTCCTTGTCCTTTACAAGCTTCACAGTAGCTGTCTTGCCCAAGCGTTCCTCTTAACTGTGTTCCTAAGGAGAGAACTGTAGAACAACGGTGGAACTGGGGGCTGCCCTGCTCTGTGCTCGGTATGGCAGGAGGTTATTTTTCCCCTTTGGGTGGGACAGTAGCTCACATATTGCCTCTTTCCTTCTGATGGGCTGCTCAGCCTTTGCACAGCTTTGCATGTTGCACCTGTGACCTCCTTTAGCCTGAGCTCAAATTTTGGCAATTATTCTTCACTGTTTATCGTGGGTCAGGAGGTGGCAAGAGAATATGCAATCTAAATCTGACACGTGCAGAAGGACAGCACAGTTAGACGTTGACCTGCTTTGAATGTTAGATAGAAAAAGATGTAAACAGGAGCGCTGGCATCCAGCCATACACAGGTTGAAGCCAGAAGACCAGTTTGAGTAACCCTGAAGTCTGTTTTAGGACATTAAAGGAGGTGGATGTTTCGTCCTTCTGAGACCTGGTAATGTACTAATCCTCTAATGGTGATTCTCTGTCCCTTAAATATTTTTAATCAGGTTTTTCAAAGTGTGTGGTAGCTTGTGGGATTGATGCAGGAATTGCTGGGTGAGGCTAGCTGGCTTGTGCTGTGCAGGAGGTCAGATGAGATGACCGTCATAATTCATCCTGACCTTAAAATCTGACAGTTCTCATTTCTGAGCTTGTGTGGTTCATCACAGGAGTCTGACACAGCTCTTTTAGCTATTCATTGGATTTTACTAGTGCTGCCTTGTTGAGCTTGTATCTGTTGTGTTTTCCTTAACACCTCATGGTTTGTTTCTGGTGTTTTAGGAGAGAGGAACTGTATTTGAGGTAACTTTAGGCTCTGTGCCTCGCTGCGGTATGTGCACAAAACTGATTATAAGCTGCTGGAAGTTTGCAGCATACTGTGAAAATTGCCATGGTCAAAACCTGCTCTTTGCAGAGACATCAATAAAAGCAGGAGGAAAACAGTGGTAATGCACGGAGTGCATTGGAAAGGCCTGGATCTCCTTAGGCGGAGAGGAAAGTGTCCAGTAGTCACCTCAAGTTGCCCTTTGTAGTGTCATTCGGTTGGTCTGTATTTCTTTCTTGTCAACACCAGCTTTCCTGAAGGATGTTGGTTAATGTTTACCATCCCTGGATTCAGGATCTTGCTTCCTTGGTGCTGGTAATGGACTCGCCCAGACAACTGGGAATTCCCCCAGACCGCTCTGATCATCGGCTTCTTGCTGCATCATCAGTCGTGTTCAGGGAGGATGCTGACAACTGTCGACGGGACTCCTTCAGGCTAATTCCATTTTCCTGCCTTACTTCCTACGTGCACCTCACCAAGGCGTAGCATTTGCTGGTTGTACCTTACCTTCTGCAGACCTTTAATACAGCGGAAAGGATTGTTGGCATCAGTGTTTGACATTGCAAAATAGATTGAGCTGAGGCAAGAGCTGATTCAGCTGTAAGAGTTGAATGGTTACACTTGCCAAAACAGGAGTGTTGAAACTTTTAGGTCTGTTCTCTTTAAGACTTTTTTCTTTTTCCTTTTCTTTCCTGCATAGTCTTAGGAAGTCTGGGTCCTGTTTTCTTTGCCTTTCACCTTTGGAGCAATAGAACTAGGTTCAAAAGAAGAGAAGGACAGATTTCCTTGTGGAGAGAGAAATAAATGTAGTCACTTCAAAAGAACTATGTGGATCAAGTCCCCTTGGAAAATGAGACTCTCCTGAACAGTTCTTTTGCTGCCAGGACCATAGCTGTGCACTGCAGTGGTCCAGCACTGGCTCATAAAACTGAAGATACATCTTTGAAGCTGCAGAGCTCAGGAGTTTCACTGGAGTTTGTTCACTCCTACTATTGATTTTCTTCTCTCCTTTCCCACCCTTTTCCCCTGTGTCATACTCATCTCTGAATTTAATAGTTTTCTTGACAGCAACCAGAATACTGACTTTTCTAGGCAGTTTTCCTACTTATAAAAGGAGAGAGGAATATGTAATACCTAAATACATCCTTTGGAAGCTTGAAAAGCATCCCTGGGTTGTCCGAGTAATGGGAGATCAACACTAACACGCTCAGGGGCTGCCTGAGAGGAGGGAGCAGACCAGAGTGAGGCACAGAACTTAAACTTTTAAACCCTGTAAAGGACTTGTTTGTGGTGTGCAGCCTGCGGTAAGAGAAATGAGCTGATACAGCCAAGTGTGTTAAACTTGGCCCCAGTTCATGGCACTTAGTAGTTCAGTTGAGACTCAGGGTAGGTGTGTCTTAATTTAAACTCTGGCAAACTACTGTGTGGGCATCCTCTTTTTTCTGTATAAGATTTTTTGGTTTTGATCTTGTTTAGATCTGCACTCAGGATGCACCAAGAAAGTCTCTTTCAATCAGAGTCAGGTGTTTAAAGCAGCATTGGTACTAGGTGCTCTAGTGTAAGGCAGTGACTGGGAATCTCCAGCGCGAGAGATGGAGGGGGCTGAGAAAAAGGCAAAAGGCCTGTTGTTAATAGCCTGGTGTTTCAAAAGATGCAGGAAAATCTAAGCATTTTCTAGTGAGCAGCGTAGGAAGAACGTAAACCTGACGTGCTCTGAAGCTGTGATTGCACAGCAGGAGACTTTGGGAATTCTGGCAATTTCTACAGAAAAGGGTGTTTGAAGGCAGCGGGCTGTGTGAGCGGTGTGAGCTTGCAAAGCAGCAGAGACCCATCGCCTGGTGTCCACACGAGAGCTCAGTTTGGAGCCGCTCTGAATTTGCGCTGCCGGGTAGGCTGGGTCGCGCGGCTCTCGGGCTGTCTCTTACGACACGTGGCCATGCTCGTGCTTCTGAACAAAACTGCCATGTTTTGTATTGTTTCTTTGTGACAAAGGGAAACAAGCCATGATCCCCCGGTCAGAATGGCTTTGCCCTTTAAAGCAGTACAGCTCTGGAATTTGGAAAAATACAGAAGCGTTACCAGCTGCTTCACAATTACCAGATGCCGTCGCTCAGCTGTTCCCTCCTTGTGTGCTGCTGCGGATGCCTGTGTTGTTTTCCCTTCTCCAGTTCAGCAAAGAGAACCAGTATATCACTTCTGAAGGGGTGCCGGGGAGGACCAAAGGGTTCAGCCCGGTCTCTTCCTGAATACCTGGAGCTCCCTGTGCAAGATTTTCCAGGGTTGTCCCAAGGTGCCTCTCCCTTCCCCGTTTGCTGCCGTGCTGCAAGGCTCTTTCATTGCCTAATGGCTAGAAACTAGTCTGTGGCTGTGGCTAACTTAAAGGTTGTTCAAATGGAGCGCCCGTGAGTTGTTTGCACTCTCTGCGTGCTGGTTAGCTATCCCCTGAAGTACGGGGCAGAGGAGCCCCGGTACAGCAGTACCCCCGGTACAGCCCCGGTGCAGCGGCACTCGCTGCGGGGAGCCCAGCCCTTCCACGGGAGAAGCCTCGTGTTCTGTGCTTGAGTTGCTTGGACTTCCATCTGTCGCTTCCTGATGCGTTTTACTTCAGAACAGGGACCAGATCATGCAAAGGATAGTCTCCTTGTTCAAGAAGAAATGTCAAATCTGTGCTGTTGTCAGCCAGCCAGAATACTCCCTTCACACATGACAAGCGCCACTGTTGATGGCTTCCCGGGGAATGCTGTGATTGAACTGGTGCCTGCTCTCTGGATGGAGGCATGTGCTGCTCCTGGTGCTTCTGCTTCTCTTTTATGTTCTTTCCTTTCATTTGAGTTGCTTTTTCTAATCCTTTTTTAAGATTTATTTTTGCTCTGGCTGACCAACTTATCCTTAGCATCAACCCCTTAATCCCTGTCTTCTCACAGGTCTGGCCCGAAGGGTTTCAATCTATCTTGACAGAAGTAAACAGGGAGGTGAGTGCTTTCTTTCCTGTTACCTATGATCAGCTGGGGTGGGAAGGACCTCCTCGTCTGGCTTCGGGTTGGTTGGCTGGTTGGTTGGTTGGTTTTTTTGGCATTGTTTGAATGACTGCTGGGTCCTTGTGGTACCTGGAAAGCTTTGCTGCTTCTACCTCTCCCATTCCTTGCCTTGTGTCTGTGTCCCTAACAGCCATGAGAAATGCAGGGAGGGTGTCTGTGCTCTCTAGGTAAGCGTAGCCACCGCCGGGAAAAGGGCGTCTTCATGTCACGCTCTCTGAGCTTTCTGCAGCGAGAGGAGGTTTGGGTGGGATGTACGAGACTTTCCAGGAAGATTTCAAAGGATCCCTGGACAAAAGCGTTTGAATGACAGGTTCCAAACATGAACCGCTGTTAAGCTAATGTGGATTTTACTGGGGCTTATTTGTAATACACTTTTGCTATAAAGATCATGTGAAAAGGAGAAGCTGATGAATCTTTCCCAGGAGGCTTAGAATAGTGGACTTCTGGCAAGGATATGCCTAATAAATTTTACAAATTCTATTCTTTCACGTGGAAGGAAGGCAGATGAACTCCCCAGCCTCCATCTGTAGAAGCCAGGACTGTGCAGTGTCTGCATTGCTCTGGAGCCTGGCCCCCTCCTCTGCTGCCGAGGTCTTCAGGGGAAACAGATGGCTAATGTGTCAGGGCACCTTTGTGTGCATGCACGTCTGTGGATGCTAATGTTGACGTAGTCATCTTGGGTTACTCATCAATTATTAATATTTGCTGACTGATAAGAGCTGAATGTGTCTGTAATGATTAATAGGACGAAAATGATTGCAGTGGTGTGTGATTCAGAGTTCTTTAGCTTGAGGTCTTTGCAAATCTCTCTCTTACTGTTCAGAGGCAGAGCACTGGGATAGAAATTAGCAAAGCTGCTGTGTTGCTGTTAGCTGCCTGGCTCTGCATTTCACTCAAAAATCCACTGGCAAACAGAAGGCTAAAATTAGCAAGACTTGGCTGCAGGAAATTCCCCGCTCAGTAAACCGGGCATCCGAACAGTTTAAGGAAATACCAGCCACTCCCTTGCTGGATCAATACTGCTGATGCCAAGCAATCGCACTCTGTCGCCAGCACACAAATAACTCTGAATCAATAAAAAGCATTCACCAGCATCTTCTGGCCAGGTGTTCTCCTAGTGAAAAATGCAGCAAAAGGATTCCTTCTCTCCCACTGAAGAAGTCTTAAAAATGTATGAGATTAGCTATTTGCTTGACAAAAAAATACATCAGCAATATTTAGATAAAATACACTTGTTTTGTTACTACAGCACAGAAAATCTGTTCTCATTGCCTAGGCTGCTGTGGGGAATTTTTACCAAAAGAAAGATAGGGGCCCATCTCTTCATTCTCGCATCGCTGGGTGCTGGTTGTAGGCAGGAGTCACCAGGCACTGCTGTATTGCAGATCGGTGGTAAATTAGAGAAAGACCAATGGCTTAACGGTCCAGGTCGTATCAGGCCTCTGTGCAAGTCAGCCCGGGAATCCCTAAAGTCCATGTGAGCACAGAGCAAAGTCTGCAGCCGGCACGTTCAGCATCGTGAAGGCGGCTGACTACAGGAGTCTCGAGACGCATTGGTGTGACCCTCTGCCCAGGCTGCTTCACCTCCTGCTCCATCAGAGCTCTCTGGGGGTGTCTCAGCACACCGCTGCATTACCTCCCGTCGGCATGACTGAATGTGCACTATGAAGGGGGAGACGATGTTAACAAGAGAATATACGTCTGACCTGTGCCCACCTCTATCCATCGCTGCCTCGTGGGGGTTGTTGGTGCTGATACCTGAACAGCCATAGTCTGTCTTACCTCGAGAAAATTTATACTGGTGCCAAGCAAGAAAAAATAAGCACATACGTGCCAGTTCCCTGCTTCCTTCCCGCTCTCCTGGGGCTTCCGAAACAAAGTGAAAGACGTCAGATACCTGCTCTGCAGAAACACAGGACCTTGTGCTCTGTAGGGTCTGCTCTGCTTTGAAAACTGCTGACTCTTCTGGCAGTCAGTCGGCAATCCAGATGGGAGGGGGTGGAGAGGCAGCCTCGGAGCGTTCTTAGAAATGAAAGTTAGCAGCTTACTGGAAGGGAAGTTCATGGGGAGCTGCAGGGCTCTCGAGCTGCGTGGGGCAGCCTGCGGCAGAGAGGAGCCTGGGCAGAGGGAAGGCTCGAACCTGCAAAAGGAGCTGATCAAGTGGTCGAACTCAAACAGCTTATACTGGAGAACAAGAGGGAGAGAGAAAAGTAGAGTGAGTCTTCCCACATCTCCCCGGGGGTCGGTATCTTGTCCTTTAGGAATAAGAAGTTTGGGTGAAGCACCTTATTTCTGGTCAGATTTTTTTATGGCAGTAAAATAATTGGAGAAATTGCATCTCCAGGGGTTTGTATTCTTTTAATTGGATTCCCAGCATCACAGCTACTCTTCTCCCTTGCTGCGCATAGTCCTTGGCGTAAGAAGAGTGACACTTTTTGAAAGGATGTTGTAGAAATTAATGATGAGTGAGGTCATATAACCCTCCCACTGCTTCCTGGAAATTAAAACAGTGCTGCACCTCGTTGCTCAACCAGGAGGGCCCATGATTAAAAAATCATCAGTCAGAATCCAAGGTGCTTTTATATTGTGTTCTGTGTAGGTATTCCTGATTTCATTGAAATGCCAAGTACAGGTTGGCCACGTTCCAGTGACGTTAAAAATAAGTGCAGACACTCAGAATGCAGCTGCTTTCAACACCAGTGTTATTTATTGAAATTTATACAAGAACTATCCCATCCAGACAAATATCTGTTGCTCAGGGAGAATCCTGAGGGAACAGCCATAGAAAGTTACAGCTTCAAGAATGGCTGTTTGGTATGTGTTGCCTTGTGTATAAACTCGCATCACACAGAACTGCAAGTACTTGTGTTAAAAGACTCAAAAACAAACACATAAAAAAACCCAACAAAACCAAAACCACCACAAACCTTTAAAAATTTCTTTTCCTGAGCTGTGGAAGATTTGTTGCTCGTTATCTGAGAAGAAAATATTCCTTATGGGAAAATTGTAATCTTAATTAACGATGCATTAAAAGAAGTGTATTGCTAGGATGCCTGTTTCTACAGTTCATTGGCTCCTGAGAGTACCGCGGTTTCCCTGCTGGCCTTTCTGATGGTTGCATTGGTGTCTTGGCATTGCCCCCGTTTACTCCGTTTCTGTAAGTAGGTGGGAGCTGGGAAGTAGGGTTGCAGGTAGTGCAGAACCTGGCTATGTGGCTCAGGCAAGGAGCCGAGATTGCATGGCTTTGCAGAGTACGTGACCTTTTTGCCATAATGAGGCTGAGAAGCGCCTTAGATGCCAAACGTGCCAGCCAAAACCCGGCGGGTGAGCTGCACTCTCAGTTGTAACATCCTGGAGAAGGACCTCTGTTAATTAAAAAGGAAGTTATAATTAGTATTAAGTCACATGTTTGCTTCTCATCCCAAAATACTAGGAATTTTACATGTAAACATGAGCCAATACTGTATCATTTCCACCATGAAAACGTTTGCTTTTACATCGAAATAGGTCAGCTATTTATGTCTCATTTTGTACTGAGTGTCATCTTTGAATTTAACGTTTCAGTCGGAGGAAGCCTTCCCTGTTACACTCTTGAGAATGACTTAAATTTATGTACAAAGGCTTTTCTTCTTTTCAGACACATTTGAATTCTGGTTTAGCATTCCCAGTTGCATCGTGGGGGGTCCCCTTCTCCCCTTCCCTTCACCCACTTCTTTACCCGGGCATCGCCTGGGCTGCAGCGGGAGCGGATCCCCGGCCCGGGGCTGGTGCTCGGCACAGGCACAACCTCTGCAGCCAGGTCTCGCGGAAGGTGCCAGGAGTTCTCCTCGGCTGCGGCTTTTATGCAAATATTCTGTTATTTCTGATGCCTGCATTGGGAGGTGCAATATGAGCATCCTGTACTCTGAGACTGCCTAGTCCACCCGCGAGCACTGTGCGTCAGAAGCAGCAAAAATGGTATTTCCTATTTTCTTGAGGGAATAAGAAGGCTGACAAGAGGGAAGATCCCTTGTTATGGGATGATCAAAATGCTGCACTTCCCTCTTCCAGAGAGCAGAGGTTATCACTTATATGGGCTATTTTTATATCACTTATATGGACTAAGTTTTATAAGAAGGGCAGGAGCTGCGCTGGCTGCTTGGAAGAGCACGAGCCGCACCATATGCCAACATCATCTCCCTCCTTTCTTTCCACCTGTGGGCTCTCTCAGCTCCTGGTTCGGGTTGAACCCTTCTTCTTTTTATCTGATCACCTCTCATGGGAGATCTCTGTACCATTTTACATGAAGTGAAACCCCTCTGGAGCTTCTTCCGTCAGTGAAACTTTCCCTAGCCGCCTAGCTGGCATCGCTGAATATCCTCAGTGCTTAAATTCCCAACAGGTACGCCAAGACAAGCACCAAAAACGCCAGTCATCACTCTGAATTCACCGTCGCTGTCCCCCTCCACAGAAAAGGCACCTGGGACCGCAGCAGGGTGGGGACTTGCTACCGATCAAACTGAAGAAAAACATTGTCTTCAAACTGGGGAATGTAACTGGAAAATTGGGAGCTTTAAAACTGTCCGAGAGCACATTGCCTACTTAACTCCATCAGTGATGGTAATGGCGATATCTATCTCAGCCTGCCAGGTTTATCTTGTCACATGGGCCATAAACAAGATGACAAATGAAAACACTTCAGTGATGTTTATCATCTAAATCACTGCCTGCTTGTTTGCCTTGGATCTCTAGCAGCCCTCTGAGCTGCCAGGCAATCTGAAGCAACAATCAATTTGACTCGCAAGATACAGATACAAGCTCTCAGCTTAGCTGAGAGTCCCGAATTTCCTCTAGTAAGATGACGGGCTGTCAATAAACGTCAGTAATCTTCTCAGTGGTATGCAGCAAGATCAGGAAACGGCTTGCATGCAATGCTTAGGAAGGGGAGATGGGCAAAATGTTTTATCTGAATCTGTGCAAAACAAGGTCATTTCATCATCTTTGAAGAAAACTCGGTGTTTGTAGGATGCTTCTGTTGTTTCCTTTGTGCCCTGAAAAGGTGTTTAGTCTGGTAAAAAGTACTTACGGCCCTTTGGTGACAAAGAGCATGTTGGGGTAGGTCTAAATTTCCTGCTGGGGCTAATTCCTAGCAATAAATCGAGACAAATTCACATTTGTGCCTTCTGGACAAGCAAGTTGCAGAGCAGAAATAAAGGCATCTCGCCGAAGGCGGCTGCGAACGGCTCGGAGCAGGAGCCTGCAGTCCTGATGCATTGCGGAGTGCTTTCTGACTCCGGGTTGCATGTGGTTATAAAATACTTCTCAGCACCAGAGTCTCAGTTTGGCATGGACGAGAGGATGAACCGCTGCCTCTGCCAAAGGGAGAGCCCTGCCCGAGGAGATGAAAACAAACACAAAACCTGCAATTTTGTCTGGTTTTCTCATGTTTGTGTTTTTAATGTATGAATAGGAGTCTCCCTGGAAAACCCATAGATTTGGGGTTGGTCAGTTTTTGCAGCATAAGAAGCAAAAGATAATTGGTGTTCAGCTCTCTGCTTTAAGCAAAACGTTTCTGTGCTGTGGAGGCGGTACACAGGTACAAAGAAGTCCCTTCTAATTAAATGTACAAGAATTGTTCCTCCAAGATTTCCCCTGCTGAATCAGGGGTTTCATTGCCAACTATTTCCCAAGTCCCAGTATCTGCTTTGTTCTGATGCTTGTGCGCTCTGCTTCGGAGAGCCAGCTTGCTCGATGGCTTTTGGACATCTTATTCCCCCAGCTGGAAAAGGAGGTGACATACACTTACTCTTCTCTGGAAATTGCCGTACCGGCAAAGTTCATGAGTTCACGCAGTCCACCACCCTGTCTGTAAGCAGGTGCCCACGTCAGGTGTTTTGGGGATAGAAAATCCCTTGTAATTCTCTTAAAGCATGGATGGGACGTTTTTCTAAACTTCACCTAGCAATCAGTTTATGCCCTCAAAGATGAGGAGCAAAAGCTCTCATAAACGTATTTGAGCTAGCGTAATTGCAGAATGTTTCCCTCCTTATCTGTCTGTATAGCAAATTGGTTTTTACTCCGACCAAGCTGTTTAGTTCAATATCTTGCAGCAATGACTTTGCTATTCCTTGTTTAGAAACATCTCCCCTTAGCCACATGTTTCTATTAGAATGAGGAGTCGTGGTAATCCAGAGGCTCTCAGGTCTTGCTGTGTGAGATGTCACCAGTTTAGTCTACTTCAATCATCATTTAATCTGATGTTCTCATAAAGTGGTGGATAATTTATTAAGACTCCCTTGGAAGTCCCCAGTAGTTTGGCAAAGCCCCTGGAAGGCTTCACCTGCCTGTAGGGGCCATCCGTGCCTCGGCTTTTCTAAGCATTTAAGCTAGCCAAGGGACCAAAGACATATTTTGGACTCAAATCCAAGACCAGCTGATTTGATCCCATTTGGAGAACGTATGGATGTGTGTGTATGTAATTTTAAATTTCTTCTAATCATGATAGTTTCTGTGAGGTAATGAAAGCCGGTGTTCTAATTAGTGCAGCTCTGCCAGTGCTGATGTGGAGAGTAATTTGCACGCCCTGCCTGTGGAATGGTAGTCGACTGGGAACAAGAAACCGGGCTCCTGATGACATCGGGAGATGTGAGGATAATCCGGATCTGGGACACAGATCGGGAAATGAAAGTTCAGGTAACACCTGCACGTTTGTCCCATTCACCTTTTCCTTCCCAGAACACGTCCCATGCAGTGAGTTACCTGTGCACAGCCCAAGCATCTGAGGCTCGTGTGTGAAGAGCTGACAGGTTCTGGAGCTTCTGCTTCCCTGCTTCAGAGACACGTTACCAAATAAATAAAAATACACACATACTTAGTGTGTCAGGTCTTTACTGGAAGCTTTATTCTGTTATTCTGGGCAGGAGCATTTGGGAAAGGTGAGGCTGTGAAATCCAGAGGCAGGCTCCAGGATGCAGTTAGGGTTTTCTATTAGCACATAATGGAAATAGTGTAAAAATTCTTGAGGAAATTTAGTGGTGAGTTCGGTTGGCGATAGAGGATTCAGAGTTACTGCTGCCCTCTGCTTCTCTGGGAAGCACACAGAGGCAATTACAGAGCAACGCTGCTCTCGTACCTACCAGCCAAAGGTCTGTTTTCAGGAAAGCTGCATCCACGCAGAGAGCACTTACCTACCTGCTCGGTCCGATCCCGAGCCGGGACCCGAGTGCTCGGCAGGACACGAGCGTTTCCAATGGCAGCCAGGGGAATTGTTGCCGGCTTTGGCCAGTCTGACTGAGGTCAGAAGTTTGCTCCGTGTTGTCTGGCCTGGGTATCGGAGGATGAAGATGCCTCGGCTCCCTCGGCATCCCCCGCGACTCCCCGGGGAGCTCTGCAGACCCACACGCTGGGGTACCCCAGGGTGTTCGCATCTCGCCTCTGAAATGAGGCGGCACGGAAGTGTGATTTCAGTGCAGTGTAATGGGGAAAAGATGCTGCAAACGTTGATGTCAATTCAATTGCCAATCAAATAAAAGTTTCTCAGGAATTACAAGGAGAAGCAGCTGGTCTGCAAGAATGGAGTCACCATGCTGGAGAAAAAAGGAAGACTAGTTTTCAAAGCTTCTAGAAATTAATTACCCTTGGATGAACATTAATTACGACACTTTGACCCTGCAATGCAGGATAATTAAGCCTATGTTAATCTTAATTACTTTCACATATTCTTTTTTTCTATGTAAATTAGAGAACAGCAAAATTCAGGAGGTGAAAATCTTTTAAATGATGATGATTAATGATTGCGCTGAAAGTATCTAAAACCATGTTGTTTCTTTTTTAATTGCAAAGATTGGTTGTGTTGAAATTCAAGTGATTGAAACTTCCTGACTCAGTAACACTGGAAAAGTGAAATTCAGCACAAAGAGCAGTGAAGCTGTGTAATCCAAGCTCATAAAGGTGCTCTCCCACTCTTTGAACTACAAAAAGCGTACCTCTGGAAGCACTTGGGATGTAGCTGAAGAAACAAGTACTTCATTTTCACTTCTGCTGATTCTTCCTGCTTCAAAGACAGGATCGGGGTTTAGGCAGTTAGAAGAGCTGCTGAGAACAGCCCTGAAGGTCGGTGCCTCTGGCCGGCAGCTTCTTCGCTCAGCTGAGGCTGTGAATAGCAGCTAGGAAAGGTGAATGTGCACAGAAGCAAAAATAGGATTGAAGTGTGAAATTAGCTAATGCAGTTCTAACGTGCCTCCTGATCGTTATCCTACTTTTTCAGTGCTGCTTAGTTTCTTTACCTGTTTTAATGGAAAATGTCTTTCCTCGTTACAGGCATAGACATTATTCCAAGCAATTCTTTTGCTTATAGCAAGTAAAAAGGGGGAAAGTAGCAGCGTTAGAGAAAGAGTGCACAGCGTGTTCCCAGCACAGCTGTCCTTGCAAGCTCCAGTCTTCTTTTTCCACGTCATTTTTTTTAATACACACGGTCTCTGCCATCTAATGAGATAACCTGAATCTACTTGTCGCATGTGCTAAAGCGGGGATTGATAGGCGGCACAGCACTGGCTCGCTTTATCTTGCGTAAGCGATTCTCCGGTGCTGTGTGGTAGCCAGGCAGCTCATTGTGTTGTCCAAGGCTGACGTGTCTACGCTGACGTTGTTCAAGAGCACCAAGCTGCCTCACCACCGCCTGCTGCCCGCGGCTGCCCGGCCCGGCTTCCTGGGCTGCCCGTGGCGAAGAGGAAGGTCACGCTTAGTCTGCTTAGCTTGGCCCGTTCGCCACAACCACCGGGGCTCTGCAGAGGTGTAGTGATGATCCTAATGATGAGGGGGGGAAGAGAGCGAAGTGTTTAAGGAGTTGTCCAGGACAAAAGTAAAATAAAAAATAAAAATAAAAAGAAATGGACTTCGTTAATGAGAACTGGAGCTATTCGGCGTAAAAGGAGCCGCCCTCTGGTAAAATCATTTTATTGTTTCCAGGGGCCCAAAATATTTTTTGTCTGCCACAGAAAAAAAAAAAAAAAGCTTCTTTTACAAGAGGCATTTAAATAACTTCCTAGAACTTATTTGGGTGTTGATTTGATGCACGAAAAGGGCTAATACGTTGCAGCTTTGTACCTTTTTTTGCATGGGTGGTATTAGCTAGAGCATACTGTATGTTTGGTTTTACATGTGGCGTTATATATGTCATTAGGATTTTTTGCCTTCTACAGGTATATTTGTCTTATATGACACTTCTCCAAATATACAGTCCTTCCTGCCATGCCAATGGCATTTACAACTTGTACACCACAAAGATGGTTTACGGAGAAATAACTCCTCTGGCTGTTTATTTTAACTAATTAGATATTCTTAGTAGAGAATAATATTAACAACTCCTTCCCAAAATAGACCTTGCCTTCGTTTGGGTTTCTAAAGCTGAATGATTTGCAAAAGCTGGTTTTGCTGGAATTCCTCCTCTGGGCCTGGCTCTTTGGGTCGATCTGTGGGACTTGTGGCTCCAAAACACGGCAGCAGCAGAGACCGTCGTCCCCAGGGTCACCACCCCGTCGTGTCTGGTCATGTCCAGAGAGCCTGAAGGAAAACCTCACACCGACGCAGTGTCACGGTGTTCTGAGTGACAGGTGGAAACTCTGGTTTAGTTTTGGGCTGATGTGCAGAATGGGGAAAGGAAGAGGAGGAGGACACAGGGTCCATCTGGGTTAGCACCTTGACTCTAGTGCCTTCTCTTTGGGGCTCTAGGCTTGACGGCACATCATGGTCTCAGCTTGGCTTTTGCGTGCCTTCTCCCTAGGATATCCCCACCGGAGCTGACAGCTGTGTGACCAGCCTCTCGTGTGATTCTCATCGTTCGTTAATTGTGGCGGGGTTGGGTGACGGCTCCATCCGCGTGTTTGACAGGAGGATGGCTCTGAGTGAATGGTAACTACCCATCCTTCCCGGGTTTGGTGGGATCCTCACATTTCCTCCTCCTCCCCTTCAAGATGTTTCTCTACTTGTTCCTCAGCCGTGTCATGACCTACCGAGAGCACACGGCCTGGGTGGTGAAAGCATACTTGCAGAAACATCCTGAAGGCAACATCATGAGTGTCAGGTAAAAGAGATTTTACTGTTTGAGCTGTTTTCTCTTAAACAGAGTTTGCTTTTCTATTTAAAATCTGCCTCTGGTATTTCAAGAGCTAAGAGGGTAAAACTCTTCAGTTTGGTATTTGCTTCAGTCGTTAACTCCTGCTCCAAACTTGGTGGAGAGAAGGCAAAAAGAAATGTGAAGCTTTCCTTGGAAGCCTGTTAGTGAGGTTTGAGAGTAAACAAGAAGGCGTCTTTGCTGAAATCACTGTCACGAGGCGTGTGAGGGAGGAATGGAGTGAACCAGAAACCTAAGCTAGATATAGTATATCTTATGGTTGTTCTTTATTGCCAACATCTCCGTGGGGTCATTTGAGAGAGAACACGAGAAGGAAGGTTGATGTTACATCTGTTGGGCATATTGCTGTGCAGGATTACTTTGCTGTCTAGCAATTTTCTACACACAAATCCATCTCTGCTGCCTGGTAAATACTGCAGAGAGAGCAGCATATACTTATTTGGCCATTAAAGAACAGCAGAATATAATTTATTGTTACAAAGCCACTGTTTGCACACAAAGAGGCTCTTTTTCTTGATTACAAAATGAAAAAAAGCCATAATTTTCTGGGATTCAGAACATTCCTGAGGTGGGGGATGGGCCAGCAAAAATGTATTAAGACTTTCACAAAGGGGATTACGTGATGCAGCTGCCAGATTTGTCGAGCTCACATATTAGAGTTTTTAATCTTCCTTTCTGTAATCTCCTTCAACAATCCCGGGGGTCAGGCCTGTATGCTTGGCCAATCTGGGTCTGAAGGCTGGTTTTTTCCCCTCTCCTCAGTGCCCTTCTCAGCACGTGGTGCTTTCTCTTGGGATTGAAGAGGTATGAGAAAATGTTGTACTTCAAAAGACAGGTCTGGTCTCATCCCAAAGGAACTCGGTTTGTTGAGACAGGCCACCTTGCTCTCAGTTTCTCCCAATTCACTCTCCTCTTCTGTTGACAGCAAGATCCAAGAAAAACAGATGTTAGGACGTGGCGAGGTCTTGGTCTAGCTATTTTCTGAAAAACTTGAAGGCGTTGTATTGCTTGTGCAGCAGTTCTCTGAACCTCAGAGCAGCTTTTTCTCTGGACCAGAGGCAGGAGTTGCAGGACTGGTGACTCCGAGCCGGATCCTGCGGCTCTCCGTTGCCCGGCGCCGGCTCACCACGTGATACTGTGTTCAGCCGCTTTGATCTATGTGCTGGTGCCACCACAGTGCTTCTAATTAACCATCAGGTCTGCCTTTATCAGGCTGACAGCGTTGCTAGAAAAGGTCCTTAAACACCTTCTGAACATCCTGGTTTAGTAACGTAGCTGTTGTTGACTTGTTGTTGCCTTTACTGTTCAACCGGGATGTGTTTCCCATGTAGTCCCTCATCACAGAACTTCCATTTTAAAGCTCTTGCATGGTCTTCCAGTATGTTCAGAACCATTTTCAACACCTTCTGAACATCCTGGTTTAGTAACTTAGCTGTTGTTGACGCCTTTACTGTTCAACCGGGATGTGTTTCCCATGTAGTCCCTCATCACAGAACTTCCATTTTAAAGCTCTTGCATGGTCTTCCAGTATGTTCAGAACCATTTTCAAGTCGTATTAAGGTTCAAAGCTTTAAATGAATTTACTGTATATTTGATCTCTCTCAAACAATATTTCCATCTAGTCTTTAGGATCTAAATCAACCTCAAGTTTAATTTGTCTTGAATTTAATTATGTGACAGCTGGAGTTGCAGCTTCCTATAATGATATAAGTAATCCTGTATAACAGCCTTTTGATCAGTATTAGATATTCCAGAGGTAAAGAAACCAAAAGCAATACGCTTCTTAATGCTTTCGTTGTTCTTAACTCTATAGGGTGATTCATAGCCGTATGGCCATCAGTGACTTGAAAAAAAAATAACACTTTAAAAGTTGTGGTGCCAAAAGCCGTACTTCTGCTGCCAGCAGAATAAGATCAGATGAGTTGATTTTGAATTTAGTTTCCGGAAGAGACTTTTCTGTTTGTTTTTCTGTACATCAGTTGACCAGTCTCCTGCAAGGAGCTCAGGAGAGCAGATGTGCCATAGCAAAATCTTCAGTCCTCGGTTCCAGGGCTGTAGGAAAGGATGCACCCTCTTCCCATCTAACAGACATGGTTCTGCTGATGTCTTTCAGAGAAATCACTTGACAAAAAGAAATCATTTGTGTTTGAAAGGTGCTTGATCTACTAAGCACAGTATCTTGCCCCTGCCACTGTCGCTTTCCCCACCCTCTCTTCCCTGATAAAGTCATTAATAGGATAGACACATCGCCCGAGCGTTAGCAGGGTTTGTTACGCCTGGTCCACAGAGTACGTTGGACAGCAAGAACTTGTGCATCTGTGGCCAGACATTTGGCCTAATGGATGGTACCAGCAGATCCCATCTGGTTAGAGTTTTCTAATACAATCTCCTACTGTGAAAATGAGAAGGAATTTGGGTCTGACATGCAGCTTGGTACATTGAGTATGACATAACAGTAAAGGCACTTATACTCAGCAATGAGCTGTAAGCGATAAAAGTAATAATGGATCACTCCTGAGGGCAGAGGCAGAGCTATTTGCACAGCACTTAATACATGCCAAACGTAAGTGACATCAGTGGGAATTCAGCCGTACTGACGGAGAAGGCAAGGGTGCGTGTCTTCTCTATCCTAATTTTCTGACCAAGGTGCTCAGGCTCACAGACAGACATACGGCTCGATTTCCTGGGCTTTAGGATCTGGTTTGCGTACAGCCTGACGTTGTGAAACTCATGTGTTGGCAGTGTAAATGGAGATGTGCGGTTCTTTGACCCCCGGATGCCAGAGTCCATGAAGGTCCTTCAGATAGTCAAAGGGCTGACGGCCCTTGACATTCACCCACAAGCCAACCTCTTTGCATGGTAAGTTTTAGTTTCATCTCCTGCATCCCTGGCGTGGACAGAGAGGACAATTTGTCTCTGCAGACATCACTCATGGTTTTTTGTTGGTTTTGTTGTTTGTTTTAACCTCACTGCAAACAGCTTTTTTCCCCTGTTTGCAGCTCGGGAATTTTATCCCTTGCATGCATTAGTTGGCTCTGCAGACATCACTCATGGTTTTTTGTTGGTTTTGTTGTTTGTTTTAACCTCACTGCAAACAGCTCGGGAATTTTATCCCTTGCGTGCATTAGTGAAACCTCTGCACCAGTGACTTAAAGCGATGGTGTACGGTCTTACACTCCTGTGTCAGAGTTGTTCAAAGTCAGGATGTGTATTTTTGGGCTCTCAGTGGAGACCAGCAACTGCTCCACAGCCACGTATCCTGGAGGTTGTTGGGGGATCTGCTCTCAGTGAGTGTGTGCATCAGCTCTTCATGTTTTTCTTTCTCAGTCCTGCAGTGTAACAGGTAGCTGTGGTTCCAGCCTTTCTGTAAATATGCACTGAGGTTGCCATGGTACAGTTAAAGTCAGTCTCCCCGCTCACAAGAACTTCATTGCACAGTAGTCTGATAACAGCTCAGGTTGACAGAGCTGAAAAGGGGACTGTAGGCAACAATATTGTTGTTACCACAGCATTCTCAGTGACACCATGTTCTCTTGATTCCCTTCCAGTGGCTCAATGAATCAGTTCACTGCAATCTACAATGGAAACGGGGAGCTGATCAACAATATCAAATACTACGATGGTTTTATGGGACAAAGAGTTGGAGCCATCAGCTGCCTGGCTTTCCATCCTCACTGGGTCTGTATTCTGTTTTTTGGATTTTGGAATTTGCCATCAGTGACACCATGTTCTCTTGATTCCCTTCCAGTGGCTCAATGAATCAGTTCACTGCAATCTACAATGGAAACGGGGAGCTGATCAACAATATCAAATACTACGATGGTTTTATGGGACAAAGAGTTGGAGCCATCAGCTGCCTGGCTTTCCATCCTCACTGGGTCTGTATTCTGTTTTTTGGATTTTGGAATTTGCATTTCTTAGTTAATGTCCATGTTGGAAGAGGGAAAGGCACGGAGACTCCTCTAGCACAGAGAGACGCCGCCCCAGCCTAGTCTTCTGCAGACGCTCTGAGCCTGACTCTCAGCCCAGGTCCTTCAGTGCTTGTCCCCCAGGCTCTTCCAGACGACCACGCTGGCGGTGCCGCTGGTGCTACTGGTTTATGATGTGCATCTATGACTAGAACGGGACTCCCAACAGCTGAGCGCTTTTTACTTGCGGATCGACTTGATATACTATTCCCATTTCTTTCCATCGCTCTGGGACTGCAGCCTGGCTTAGCTCTCTAGTTCTTGCCACAGAAGTTGTCCGAGGTGAATTTGCCTGGAGCTGACTGGAGAGGTGCACTCTCCCACCTCCAGCACGCAAAATTTTATGTGCTTATTTATTCCATGCCTCTTCTCTTGCAGACGGTAGGCTCACCCCTGTGTCCCTGGGGCTGCTTTTACACCGCCTTATGTAAGGCTTTAGGAAGACCTGATGCTGTGCAGTAGAAAAACTGCACGTCAGAAAAATGAGAGAACTGCAAAAATTAAAGGCATAAGCTGATAAAGTCTAGAATGAATTAGAGTAAAAAGGAAATTTCAGAATGTGTCACAGCTGAGGTGGCTCTGCAGTAGTCATTAGAGAGAGAATCTGGTTGCTACTTAATTAGGAGGCAGGTGCCCATCTGCATTATGGACTTCTGCTCACCCAGAGACGAGAATAAACGGAGGAGACTGAAAGCCTAAGAAAACAATGTGAATGGATAGGAAAAACAGGAGGAGGTTAAAGAAGACATTTAGACAGAGAGTTATTTTAGAAACCTGCAGATCAGAACACAAATATTTAATATGTAATGGGAAAGAGCGGTGGGAATGATAAAGGGCCTGGCGGAGAGGAGGGAAGAGCTGTGCTATCCTGCGATTTGGTATTAGCTGGGCAGGGAGAGGGCAGGCAGTTCTCCTGCCAAGGTTATATATGCGTTTTACATCCTGAAGATAGCGAGGTTAAAGGAAAGCTCATCTCCTCCTCAGTTTTGAAAAGCCACTCTGCACAAAGCCAAAGAGTGATTTTGCTGTCCTACAGTTTGGGGGACAGAGAAAGAAGTGGCTAATCATTTGAAATGTTTTGCTCTTTAAATAAGCAAACAAACAAAGCCCTGTCCAGCACGGGTCTCCACGGCTGAGATTGTTCCTGGGCCTCTCAGTGGAGGGAGTGCTAATTTTCAGTCCAGGCGACTGTTCCTAACTAGCAGATTTGCAGTCATTTAGAAAAATTATGTTAGTGGTTGGCAACTAATAGTCACCATAATTTTTCCCTCTGGCTGAAATGGGCATATAACTCGCTGGGACGATGTAGGTGCTGGCAGAAATGTCGTCAGAGCTGCGTTGGCAGATGCACTTAAGAGCTTTCGAGCATCTGGGCGTTACTGCTGAAAATGTCGACCGTTACCATTTTGCCTGTGATGTGCCTCTCATTACCGCATGACACCTGTACGATTATCCCCGGTTTGCTCTTTCCGCAGCCTCATCTGGCAGTCGGAAGCAATGACTACTACATCTCGGTGTACTCAGTGGAGAAGCGGATCAGATAACGGCTCGTGGCAGCGGCACTGGAGAAGGGAGTCCCAGCGGGCAGGGCCGTGTCTCACCCATAATGTACATAGTGAAATTATCGACTTGAATGTTTAGTGTTGGCTGCTGCTGCAACCCATAACTTGAACATTTTTTTTCTGACTTAGCTACTGATGATTTTGACAAGGGGAAGAGAGACAATCTCCTTTTTTTTGTTTTGTGGTTTTTTTCCCAGCTATATCCTCTAAAAGCTACAGAAAAGGAACATTTTATTTTTGTTTCCAGTGGTTGGCTTCTCTGTTAGAAACACGGCTCCTGAGCTTGGAAGGACTGGATGAGGCAATACCCTGAAAAGGGCTTTTTGTTTTAGTCTTTGTTCCTTTGTTTTGCTGGAGCGTAGGTTGCTTTAAGGACTGAAGACAGGACTCACCTACAGCTCTGTGCGTTCGACCAGACCACGGGACCCCTCCAGCTGCTGCCTACCCTGTGCCAAACAGTAATTCCTCCGACAGGGCAGCGAGAGCCGAGCTGTCCATCTGCAGAACAATGTACGTGCTCCTGCACTGCCTGAGCCTGGGCAGCGGAGGCGGGAAGGTGTCTCCTCTGCATGAACCTTGTCTTCTCTGCAGCGTCCTCTCCAGTGGAAGTAGAGATAGAAGGCGACTCGGTGGCAAGGGGAGGCAGCGATCCTGAGGAAAGGGGCTTGAGGAGATGACAGGAGCAGGGCAGGATGCCACCGTGCCGTAAGGTTGCACATACAGAAGAAAGAGAACGGACATCTCTAACGTCCCAACGAGCCTGGAGCAAGGCACTCATGTAACCGCTTTCCACCCAAGCACACGGTGCTGGTGGGGAGGTCTGGGGTATCTCGGTCACGACTTCCGCAGTCACTGTCATCCTGCCCACAGTGAACTCCACAAACACGTTTGATAGCCTGGGAGCTCCGCCCAGGCAGCGAGGGAGGCTCCAGGTTCAAGCCACGGGCTTTCGTCTCGCTCTGATATGCTAATATTCAGCAAGGTGATGGTCAGGAGAATTTTCACGCTTGTATGCAGCTGCACATGTTGTGTGGACGTGGCTGTGGCTTGTCTGTCTGTCCCTGCAGAACTGGGCATGTAACCACACACGGTCTGAGCACAAGAGAATCACTAAAGGAGGGGGAAGACAGCAGGTCACCCTGCTTTGAGCAACACAGCTTTGTCCCAGCTATCTAGGGGAAAGCCTGCTCCATCTTCCACACCTTCCACGTCTGAATAATGAATGTTTCTGTCCCTTGAAATCCATGATGGGTGTGGGGAAGGGGTAGGCAAAGCCAAAGGGCAGGTTTCTTTCAAGTGGTCGCTGCCGAGGTGCGATTTAGCTGGCCAAGAACAGAACTTGCACTGTGCAAAAATCACTGCAGCCGACAAAGGTTGACCTGCTGAGTCCAGAAGTCCCCAGTTGTTCTTCCAGCCGGCATCAGGGGGTCTGCAGGCTCCCAGCAAACTCTGCCAGCAATGAGGCTGACAGTGAAGGAAATACTAATGAGAGAAGGGGTGAGAAACGTTCTCTCCCTGTGTGGATGGCAGCTTTACCTCTGCCACGGCGCCTGCGGAGCGCGTCTGACCTGTCACTGCTCCTTATACACCAGATAATCTTGTTTCCTATCTGTGTTGAGGCAGCTGGGCCACGCAGGGGTCGTGGAGTTGGCCCGCTGGCTGTCCCAGGCTCGCTGCAGGGAAGCCGAATGCAAAGTGCCGTACGCAGGTCTGGATGCTGGCTTCGGTGGGGGCCCTTCAACCGTGGAGGTGGAGCAGACGCCGAAGGCTGGGCGCTCTGTCCGTACCCCGAGCATCGTCGCTGTCCCCCCCGTAGCAGGGAGGCCGAGGGCCACTTCGCAGATGACGAATCAAAGGCTTTAAACTTAAGAAAAACTACCTAAAAGTCTACTTTTGAGTTACCAGAAGTTAATTATGGTCTAACAGAGCTGTGCCTCTTCCCACCCCACTGAGCGGCTCCCGTGCAGCTCCGGCGTCGGTCCCAGCGGTACGCGTCTCCTCCGCCTGCCCGCGCCAGGGGCCGACGAGGGGCCGGCAAGCCGGAGTTTGGGATCCGCACGTAACCAATTAACATACACAGCTTAAAAAACAATAGATTTTTAACTTATATCAGTGTATTCATTAAAGGAACAAGAAATACCTGGCAAAATGCGAAGTTGCGTGGTGGGAAGCTGCTGCTCCCTGCCAGCGCTGCCCGGTGCCAGCCAGCCCCTGCGGCCAGGAGGTGGGTTTTTAACTAAC